CCTGTACTCAGTTCATTATATCTAGTAACTGTCCTCAGTGGCTTCAGAAATTCAGTGTAGGCTGCCCCTTAGATCATTGGGGCAGATCAGTGAGACAGTGGCTAAAGTCCAAGTGAGCCAGTTAGAGGATAAAACCATAGAACACAGGGTGAATAAACGTAGGATGCTGCATTATGGGCAGGAGAGGTGAGGGTTAGGAATAACTGGAGATGAAATACAAGAGGGTAACCAGTTCAATTATGGGAACAGGCCCAGATACCTGCTATCTGGCTTGTGGCAGGACTGAGGAGAGTACTTGCCAAGAGGACAGCTATTGCTGATCCTTCCTTTCTCAGATAGCCTTCACTTGGCACGTGTCACTCCTTAGTCATGTTTGCAAGATGTTCTGGAGTTTTACAGGTTTTCAGTTCTGCATGTCTTCTCTAGGTTCTGGAGGTTTGGATCTCCCTTAAGTCAATAGATGGGTCAGTTTTGGAAGTGATAGCAGGGGCAGGGAATGCAGTAGAAAGGTGTGTTCTAAGTGGCCATCTTGCCCCAGCATTCACATGCACATTTGGCCACAAGCAGCTCAGTGGTCCCCCTCTCTGGGTGAAACAGAATAGCACCAGGCAGTGTCTTCTAATTTGACATTGCCCCAAGTGACCTACACAGTGAGTCAGTGATGTAGAACTGCAGAATGGTGAATTGGTACCAGGGAGGTCCTCCAAAAGTGGGACTCAATTCTAGTTCCTCTGTCTGCCAGGCTGTATTATGAACAGCAAGGCACCTAGGAAATTTTCAGCATAGTTGCCACTTGTGGAACCAGAAGCCTGGGGTGAAGTATGGTTAATGGGCTCTTCCATCCCCATTAGCTCATCTAGGTGATCCTGAACCTCACCATAGTCCTCCTCTGTCTCTTTTTCCTGTTCTGACTCCTGACCCTCATCCTCATTTTATTCATATTTTCATCCTCATTTCTCTTCCTTATCTTGCCCTCCTCCTTCTCTCTCATCTCTTGCCAAAAAGCCCTCACTTGCCTGCACTGATCCTTCAGGTAAAATGTGCCTCTTTGTCTTCATCCTCACTGTAGTATTTGTCATCTTCACTTTCATCATCATAAGGATTAGTAGCAAAAGGGAAGGAAATATTGCAAACTCCAGGGAGTAGGGTTGGATTGGAGACATGAACTTTTCTATCTCCACACATTTGAGTATCAGCTCATCCAGGCCAACCATTTTAGGTGGCCATAACAGCTCTTAAGGAGCTCTGGTGGCATAGTGCCTAAGGCATTTGACTGCTAACCAGAAAACTGGCTGTTCAAACCCACCAGCCACTGTGCAGAAGGAAGACTGGACAATCTACTTCTGTAAGGATTTACCACATCAAAAACCCAAAGGAATCCACTCTATGGCAGTGAGTTTGGGTTTTGGTTTTTATAACAGCTCTTGCAGGACTCTGACAGACCTTTGATAAATTGGTATTGGAGACAGCAGTCATCCCAAGACAAGAATTAGGCCAGGAACTGAAGAGGATCTGCTTAGCTGCAGATGGTATAGTCTCCCTGCTTGAGCTTGTGGATGGCCTTTTTAGCCACAGTCAGGGGATTGGGTCACAGAATTCCTTCAGGATTTCATCCAGTAAGCATGGAAAGTTAGCGTGCAAGGGGCTTCCTTGCACTCACTTCCTGGGTGATGACGAAGGCCTAGTCCTTGGCTAAGCCAGTGAAAAAGGAGATCAGAAAGGCCACCCACTCAGCACCCCTGGGGAAGTAAGTGATCCTCACGTTCAGCTATTAAAGTTTTTAGTTGCACCAGGAATACAGGCAGGTACACTGGGTCGTCTGAAAAGGACTTAATCTCAGTGGTGGCAGAGGGAGTAGCAGGGGCAGTTCCTTTGGCTCAGGTGGAGGCAGGGCCAGGGATGGAGGACTGGGCAGAAGAGTGAGGTCGATGGGGCCGTTGCTGCAATCCTGGATCACACCAATCAGGAGTTCATCTGGGATATACTTGGACTTCGTGCGTGGGGGATGCCAGCATAAGAAGGGTACTTCTCCCTCGAGAATGGCAGCGATCCCCGTGAGTGGGAACTCAAAATTCTCCTGGGCAAGGGTGGGCACTCGGCGTCTGCCAGCGGAGGTAGCTAGAGACATTGTCCCGCAAAGAGGTAACCTCTGCCAGGGTTCTTCCGAGCTGAAGGCCCAGAATGGCATTATCCCCTCGAAGGGCATTTAATTCTTCTCGCAGGGCTAAATTCTCCATGCAGAGACTATAAAGCTGGCGGCTCAAACCCATCAGCCACTCCTCGGAAGGAAGGTTGGGCAATCTACTTCCGTAGTGATACCGCCTCTGAAAGCCAAGGAGGGGTCGCTATGAGTCGGATCCCACTCCAGGGCAGTGCGTGTGTGTGCCTCAGACTTCTAGAGTGGCTCCGCGCCC